GAAAAACGGGGCCGTGACATCTCTCAGGCTTCTCTCTGATACTATACAACTCAGGGTCGCCAACTGAATCATTCTCAAGTTGGCCAACTCTCTCTAATCTGAAGATGTAACCTCGAAATTTTGACATTTTCTGAATGATAACGATACGAATGTGTATCGCACGTACATACATTCCTCAACATTATATAACAATAATTAATAATAGGTGCATTTTGGACGGACAAGCTTGATGACGTAAATATTGGGGGGAAAATATTCAATTTATCTTTACAAGTGGCATGTGTGGTTATTGACAATGGAGCCTGAAATAGCAATCGCCGACAATTTATTTAAGCTGCAATGTTTAATTAAAGCCACAGGGATACAGCACAGTGTGCAGTGCAAACTCCAAGGGAAATTATTTCTTGCACTGGCAACCGACAGTGCTCAAGTTATTCTCTATTTTAAGAGAGAATCCTCTTGCCTACCAGTCGTGAAAAAAATACCTTGGTTCCAAGGGCCGCATAAACAAATCGCTGCCTTTTGTTTCGATTCAAGCGGCACTTGGTTATTATGTGTAACTTTCGATGGTTCGTTGTACATGTTACCCGCATTAATCCTAGTTGGTGAAAGTTGCGTCGTTGATAAGAGATGGAAAACTGACGATGCGACCCATGTTCCTTTTGTAAATTCTCAGCTCTCTCATTTCAGGTAATTTCATTTAATGAGTGATGTAATAAGAAATGTTCTCTAGCCACACGTATGTCTCTTTCTCAGACCACGGGCTGTCGCATGGTGGAGAGATATGAAAATGTCTATGGACATAGGCATTGTAGGGACGGAATGTGGAGCAACTATATTTATCAATCTTTTAAATGGACAACAGCTAGGCATAACATACGTTAATGAAAGTATAAGTGGTCTACACATTTGTCAAAATGAGTACAACGAGATTGCGTCTCTTTTGATAACGAGTAAATTTCAGCGACAATGGCGTTTGCCTTTGGAACACGTATCCCTTCTGCCCAATGTTGAAAACAAAGAATTTTCTAACCAACCAGCTATTCGTGATAATGTGGGAGAGCCCGTTCCTAACAAGTCTAAATTACAAGAACTTAAGCAGCTCTCTGTCGAAAAGCTGGCTATTCTCAAGCAAAAGTTGATCGATACCAAACATCAGACGTTGGGGGAAAGTTTGCAATGCCATGGTATTGTAATTTATGCTTGAGAAATACTTGTCACGTGCTACCATCGCTAACATATTAATGCTACAGACGCTGCGAGTATCGGAGAAAACGGCAAAGTATCGGAATCCAAAGTTGGCTTTGTCGCTCCAGAACCAATATCAAAAGATACCTTCCTATCTTGCCAATACGACAGAGAGGACCGACAGTTGTATACGTGTTATCATCCTGTCACTAATTACATCACAGTAAGATACCCTTTTCTAGTATCGAGCATATACGCTTATAGTAATCTTCTAATATGACGATCTCTTCTTCAGGTACACGGTCCAGATCTAACTGTGGTACCCTTGTCAATGCACAAAGTATTCGAGTCGTGCGAAACTGTTTTATTAGCTCACAGATTCTTTTTTCTTACCGACATTAATCAACATGCAATATATATCATGTCCGACCAGTTGTCCGAGACTCGTGTAAACAGAGACTATCAATTTAACCCCGAATCTATTATCGGGACATTTTCCTTTAAGAACAGTAAGGAAGTGATACGCGCGGTGTACAAAGTAACAAAATTCGATAATATAGTACCGAGAAAAGTCTCTGAGGAGATGGAGAGTAAATGCACCCCACCAAAGAACGTCGAACCACTTTCTTTGGATACATGTATAATTGTTACAAATTGCTGTGTATACGAAATTGTTTTAAGGTCAGTTTGTTCAGTTTGTCGTAATATTTTTAAGAGTTTACATACCGTTGAACGAAATTGTTGTCTCCTTGTCACTTGTTACAATGTCATGCTGCATGAAAAACTTTATTGTTACTCGACAAAGATTTCCTTTCCTGTAATAGGCTTTTTTCCATTTAAAAAAGAAATAGAGTCGAGAACACTGTTGTACACTACTACATTGTTATTTCATACAGTTACTAAATTATCGTATTTTATCCTTAGAAAATCTCTTCTATCAATTTTCATGGACTTGGTATTGAAGAAAAATGAGCTGCAAAAAGCGGGAAAATTAGCAATGGTTTTTGGATTAAATGGGCAACACCTGTTGGAATATGTAGGCGATATATTCCTATCGAATAGAGAATTTTCACGCGCAGTAGCTTCATATAAAATGTCCAAGGTAGATATTCAATGTATGGATTTCTCTATCTCGTGTTTTTTGGTGTGTATAAATTAATAAATAGCTAAGCTCTTTATTAATTGAGCTCTAGCTATTTTTAAAAACGGAATCTGTTTTTAGAGTTATAATGTAAAATAGTAAAAAGAATTTTTCATCTACTCTATCAAACGCGAATAGTATACGATGGTATACAAACGAAACTAATTTGTTCTTGCAAGGAGCATGGGAAATATATTTCTTACAGCATTTTTATTATACATATAATACAAGTGTTAATAGCAACTGTTTGAAAATATTATAAACATATTCCAAACAGAATGTACTACTAGTGTCGTCAGAGAGTTGTTATTATAGTCTTAAATAAATTTCTATTTCAGTGTAAATTATTGAAGAGCGTGTTAAAATTTGCATCAGTCGGCCATACTTCAGAATTGTTGAGTTGTCTAACTCATTGCTTACTGACACCTGTCATCACTGAAATGTCTATTGCAACAAGAATACATTTGTCCAATCTGTGTGTACTTTCCTTCATTGAAATGACACTGAGAGTTTGGTCTGAACAATCTAAAGCAATCTATAAGGAGTTCTTGTAAGTCAAATTACATTTACAAGATATACTACGTTTCACATATAATGAGACATATTTTTATCTACAAGTTCCCATTTCTAGATACTTCTTGTCCACAAATACATTTTACGACCAACTATTAGCTATTAATATAGCTGGTCAAACTTACCTCTGGGAGGTGTTACATCACTTGGCTACACAAAGAAGTTTGTACAGTCAAATGTTGGATATTCTCGTAAAGGCAATAGAAATATTTGGTACAAACGACACTCATCCAAAATCATGTAACGTATACACATACACATATGCGTATGAGAGAGAAAACGCATGTACAACATTGTGGGATTTAATGTTGTACGTCTTTATTATAGATGGTCTACTCATATGTTTAAGTGAATCTGACTTGATGCAATCGATGTTATTGAATTACGATTTAGCTAGGTCTCACATGTTATTTGTGCGCAATAATCTGCGAGAGTCTCAAATCTTCGTGCTTCAGGTAAGATGACATTTAAATATTTACTTGGTAAGTTACAGAAATGTCTGCATGATAAATTAAATTGTTAATGAATCAACTAAAAATGAGAGAGAGGGAATTGCTTCTCTACGCGTTTGTACTGGACGCAAGTAAAATAGCACGTTTACATTTTGTGAAATCGAAAGATAGAGATTTCGATGATGCTCAACAGCTTGAAATATTCCACAGAGACTAGTAACATTGTACGATCCAACGAATCCAGTATTGCGAACTAAATTAGTACAATGTAGAGCACGTCATAAAATAGTATCGTGCAATCTACCATCTAATCAGTGTGATTCTACAGACTCTACGGATAATATTGTGAGTATAGATTTTTGGTGTACGGGATACTTGCAAAATTCGCTTTACCAAATTTTATCAAAATATTAGCATGTCTGGATTTTAAGAAAATGGAACGAGTTTTGAACCGTCATCCCAACATTTGATACAGGTTCTTCTAAACGATCAGTTTTAATTTGAGCTTTCTCAAACCATCATTCTTTTTTGAAGCTCGTAATTGGGGGAATTTTTACATTTTTTATTGTCTATTGTCTATACTGCATTTTCTATACTGCAGTTGGTCTCAACTCCCCTTATACCTTGTAATTTTTGGTAAAAAGGACATCTTTTAAGAATGCTTTCAAAACATTGTTCAATTAACAATTTGTAGGATCAGCCTGATATCCTCGTGGAAGAGATAATAGAAACGTTTATACTAGTTTTGTTGACTCTTATTCAGAAGAAACGATTGTTAAACCCGAATTTTAAATATACTTTTTGGTATGATGTACAATTACCGGAGCAAAACGTGGTAATCCTCATGTTATTATATATATACAATAATATTCTGCGTAAAGGAAAAACGAGATTGTTGCTTCAGCTCCAGAAAGCTTTCACATTAGCTCACAATCTAGTGACAAAACTCTCGGATGAAAGTAACGAAATAAAATTGCGCTACGATACAATTTGGACATTTCAACGAATATATTGTAAGAAAATAGTGAAGAAAGTACGGTACGATTGCATAATTCTCTCGATTGTGGAGAGCATGTCCCGATGATCTCGCTTTTCACTTGCCGAAAATGCTGTACATTTCTGCGGTATACTGATCAAACTGAATTATGGCATGTGTTCAGGAATATTCGGAAATAATTTTGCACGTTGACTTTAAAAGGAGATCGTTAAGTACTGGATTTTCTCACGTTGCGCTCGTTAGAAACGGTGATATCTACACTTGGGGAAGTTCGGTGCAAGGTTGTCTAGGTATGTTTATCATAAATATTGTAACTAGTTCGGCCAGAATTGAAGCCGAATGCAAGTGAAATTTGTCTACTTGACAAGTAGAATTTCTTAAGCATTGAATCTTATAGCCTCGCTATAATGAAAATTTACATGTAATTTTTCAACACTCTAGTGATCACTGGTTAATCGGTAGGATTTGTTAAGAATAGTCGATAAATTGTCTATAGGTACTGGCTCTAGCGTTTTGCGATATGGGGCACCCCACGCCATCTGCTTCTTCAAAAGTATGAAGATTGAAGTTTTCAGTGTATCGTGTGGACATTGCCACACCCTGGCGGTTACCAACAACGGTATCTACGCTTGGGGAGCCAGTCAATTTGGCCAGTTGGGCCTCGGCAAGGTGCTACAATGTTCGAGTCCAGAATTAGTTACTTCGCTGGCGCAAGAGATTATCGTTGACGCGGTAGCTGGACAGTATCATTCTGTAGCGTTAACCGCGGACGGTAGGATATTCACATGGGGCTGGGGTGTTCACGGCCAACTCGGCCACGGTAACACCGACGAAAAAGGAATCCCGTCCTTGGTCAAAGCCCTGCTTGGCGTAGTCGTGTGTTGCGTCAGCGCTGGATACGCGCACACCTTGGCACTATCGGCAGATGGTGTTGTATACGCCTTCGGATGTAACGTTCTCGGTCAATTGGGAACAGGTGATAATGCCAAAAGTTCTATCCCGATAAGAGTCGCGTTACCTGACGGGATAGCGCTTATAAGTACTGGATACTTTCATAATGTAAGCTCTAATAACGCGTGCCAATTAGCATGAATAGCAACAGCAATTTCACATTTCCTGTTGCAGCTAGCTGTCACTAACGCCAACAAATTGTACACATGGGGCGCGAGTCCTCAGGTTCTCAGATTGCAGGCACAAGCGCAGAAGAAGACTCGTATATTAGAGCAACGAGACGCCAATGAGAAAAGGAGTAAGATACCGAGCGGTGCTACGAATCTAAACGAGGAATTTCTGGTGGATGGTGTACAAACCGAAACGATTACTTGCGATGCAGAGAGATCTGAGACTGAAGACAAAGCAGATCTCAACATTGGTTCGATCCAGGAGAATCAAGCACATTTGAAGCCATGTATTGTCGATACGAGTTTGGTAAAGGGGCAAATTAATCAGGTACATAATACAACGAGAGTTTATCTAGACGGGCGGATAGGACTGTAACCTGTTGTGTCATTTGTGCAGATATCAGCTGGCTGTCATCATAATGCGTTGATAACCAAGGATGGCTCTTTATATACTTGGGGCCGCAATCTAGATGGTCAGATAGGTAACGGCACGCGACGAGAAGTGCCAATTCCAACGCCGTTGTATTACAATTCAAGCTGTATTCTTGCACAAATACCTCCTAGACACAATGATTTTAAGAGAATGCAAAATCAGTGGGACTTGGATGCCAAATCGTACGACTCACTGGCGAATAACGGAAATCTGCCTGAGAACAATGGGAATGATTCATCGGCGCATCTAGCGAATGCTGATCCGAATAAAGAGAGAATCAATCCTGTAATTAATGCTGTTGGCATTGTTTGTGGATACGATTATACGGTCGCGATACAACCAGGTTACGAGAACAATCAATTTATTTAAAAGTAAATTAAATCAGAAACTATGAGGATGATAAATTGAGCGTGGGAGAGGGAAATTTTATGTTTGTGTCAAGTTGCTAAAAGTATTATGCAATAAATTTTTTAGGGGGCACGGTATTAGCCTGGGGTAACAACAGTAGGGCGCAATTGGGTCGTATCCCTGCGAAAGAGGCACGCGATGCCGATGACAAACTCGTATTGCTCAAGTCGTCGAAGCGAATAGTGCGGCTCCCTAATGCGTTACACATAGCTCTGGACGTTCCTAGTCAAGTACCTGGCATTTCCATCCCAGTGATATCTTATCGATCCAACGAGGCCTTTTCTCTCGCCGGATCCGTTCGTCCTCTGAGCGTTATCGAAAGATCGCCTGGAGAATTGACGCTTCATTATATTCTCGAAAATTTCTACGGTCTATACGACTCTACCAGTATTATGGAAAAGGTTGGTTCGACGCTTTATCTAACGATTTTGACTTTGGTCAGTCGACGATTTCGTTTCTTTTCTACAGAACGACGCTAACTTGGCGATGAAAATTAACAAAAAGAAAAAAATGTCTTTTCCGTTGCAGTGCATCGAATTGGAGAATTATCAAGCTTGCTCTAAAATAGCAGCATTAGAAAATGACGTTCTGGCTGCGTTCACTTATCAATTGAAGATGTTGCATAAATTGAGCCTTCAGCCATCGAGAAATTATTCAATTTTGGAGAGAGAGATTGCACACGATGGAACAGAATCCACAATTGAGGCTAGTTCACCAAACGTGACGAGGGATTCCCTGCCATCTCGAGATATCGAGAGAAACACTGAATTATTTAATAGACAAGCGGAGAAGAATCTCATGGAATCGTTGGAAAACAGCGTTGCTCGAAGCTGGACGAAAATTCCTACGAGTAGATCGTTGAACAATTTGCAAACACTCGCACAGGAATTGTACTCTTTCGATTGTCAAGGTGGTTTGGAGCAACTATGCGGGACTCGAAGATACGACGAGGGTCCCTCGCTGAATCCCTCGCTGAATCCCTCGCTCAGCGTTAACTCCGACACCGAATGCAACGCCAACAACGAGGACAAACAGGGCTGGATCCAACATCTTATTTCTAATGGCGTTGATTCGACGCCGCGACAAAGAAATGTCGCTCTACGTACTTGTGCGCAAAAAGCAATTGCCAATGACAGTCGGAATACATGCGACGGGACTGAAGAGAAGGCCACGCTCTCGGACAAAGTAACCTCGTGTTCTCAGAGGAATTTCATAATCAACGAAACCATAAGAGTATTAAAGTTTTACTTGAAAGGTATTAATAACGTGGCAAATATCGTAAAATGCGAAATATTGCAAAGTGTAATTGATTTTTGGATAGTACACAATTTACCGATACAAAGCTTGGAGAAGGTTTTTCTCGAACATATACACGTGGTTTATTACCCTCTTGGATTATTGCTTTTTTGGTAAGTCCACATTACACCTTGCTGTACTGAAACTGTAGATCAAGTATTGGCAAAAGAACTTGAGAATCATCAAAGTTGGCACGAGGCGAGATGAATTGATGCAAAACACATTCTCACTTTTTCCATCGTTGTCACTTTACAGTCAGGGTGCGATAGAAAGATATTTGAATACAAGCAGAACGTACGACGAGGGGAAAAGTTGGTGCGCAAACAGCTTATTCTCAGTCAGATTTTGCCTTCGAGTGCTATCGATGTTGACACAGCGTATAGACGAAGGTTGCTCCGAGCAGATATCTTTTATTTGTCAAAGTGATTGGAACGGGGAAGAGTAATAAAAAGTGTCTTGTATTCCAGATGATATTATGCCAGAATACGTAAAAATTTTCTCCTCCTTAATGGCGGACAATTACGGGGCACCCTTAAATTACGGGCATCCGGACACAAGCGGAAATAACAATACAAAACGAATGATGGAAGGTATCGTTAGTACGGTACTCTCCGAAATGGAAGATTCCAGATTATTTGCACACATCAAGGTAAGATTTCACTCTCTCACCTTGGGGAGACGTAATCGTTTGTAATTGTAATTGAATCTTTCTTGATTGTTAAAACAGAACTCGGATGCTATAAATCACTTGCTCACGATCGAAGTAGATAGTATGATATTTACTTGCGGACACCACTTTCCAGTCTCCCTGTACGAAACAGACGTTATCCCGACGATGGAAACTGAATTGTTAACATCTCCGTTAACTCTTCCATGCGTATCGCAGTACCTGGGAAATATGTTGTCCCGCGCCTCTAAACCAGAGATCCTGTGTCCTTTGTGTATAATTGGAGCATTAAGAGCAACGACGGTAAAAGATTGCGATTAAAGGTAACCTCGTCACGCTCATATATATCCAAATTATTGAATTAGACTTGCATATATTTCAAACTAATAATAGATACACCTATCGTGAAACATTGTGATTAACGAGTGATTAGAATCGTCATCCTAACGTTTTCTTCGTTTATTCCGCAAACCTGCGCGAGCTCCCTTTCTCGCCCCGGAAACTATGCTTTGGAACTTGCCCGCATTTTTCTTCTTCTTTCTGCAAGATGCAACATTGATTTACTCAAGTATGTAATATGTACAAAGTGTGCGTGTAAAATATACTTTGTGCGACCAAAGATGTAAAATCTGTTATTGACCTTTTGTTCAATATAGATCTCGTCAAGGGTACATATGCGTAGGGATCTGGTTTATCCTTCCTCTTAATATCTCCCCTGGCCTTTGTCGCACGATATTCTGAACCGGGTTCGCAATCTACCTCGATTGCTTTCAACGATCGATGAATACCTGATCCGCTAGCTGAAACGTCTTAAACGTTGGAAAGATCTTCAAGGAGATGCGAGACTCTTCTTTAAGCAAATTAAAGTCGAAAAAATTGTAAATTTACCTCGATATCTCGACGTTGACTGGCTCTTCGAGCTCATCGCGTCCAATGTACTTTCGCTGTATTTACGTTTTTTACCGGCGCTTTTTGAGGCCACTATCGATGCGTCATCTCGATCCTCTGCAAAGTGTGTATGTACGACATTTACCTCTCTCGCAACTATTATTCCATTATCTCGAGTATCTTACTGTAATCATCTTCCGAATCACTCTGAAGGAAGACAGTCTTTTCCTTCTTCCTCTTCTTCTGCTTCCTCTCTTCCGCATCGCTGTCCTTTTCGTTATCGTCCGTAATGATGAGGCGGCCATCGGGTGCAGTCGCGAAGCCACGATCCTTTACCTTCCTCTCGGGGAGTTTTCGATTCGACACGCCCACCGGTTGTGTAGCTAAAGTACAACGCAAGTGATTATTTAGTTGGGATAAGACCTTCTTGGTCGATCTCGAAGGAAAAAGAGAAAGGTGGGAAACCAACTTGTAATGTTTCTAGCAGCCGCGGGATCCGCGAGATCGACAATGCTGTCTCCGCTCTCCTGAATCCAAGCGTCCTTTACCGATGTTCTTTTCTTGCTTCTTCTTGCGTCTTCTAGCTCCGTAGCCTCAAACTCGTCGTCGCTGTCGGCCAATATCTCCTCTATGCTCTTGAGCCTTCTCCCGGCGTCAAACTCCTCGTGACTGTCCCGCTGCTCGAGCTTCCTCGCCCTCTCGAGCTCCCGCCTCTTCCTCTTGGCCTCCTCCACCTTGCTCATGTTCTTGAGTCTCTTGTGCAGGATGACGTCCGAGGCCGGCAGCATAGCCGATATCGGTGCGTAGCCGTACTTCCTCATCAGTTTGGTAAAGATGTCTCGTACCTTTTGTCGAAGATGACGCTTGCAGTCCTCGGTCATTCGCGAGAGAGCGCCGACTAATCGCGGCAACGTCGGCGCCAGCGCGGCGAACGGCGTGACGTTGATGTAGACCTTGACGTAGGACAAGGCGGACTCTGCCGTCCCTCTCGTAGGACTGGCGAGGATGGTGCAAACGTGGCCGAGGATCTCGTCGAGCGTCTCCGCGCCGAGCGAGCCGTAGTGACTATGGGTGACGGAGGCGAGGGCGAGGAGGCTGGCGCTAACGAATTCCCGGTCGCCGCCCAGACCCACCATCAGCATATCCAGGTAGACGGCGAGGTGCGAGGGATCGTTGATAAATTTGCGGGCGATCGCGTCGAGCAGGCGATAGGCCGCCGCGCGACACCTCTCGTTAATATCCTTTACGCAGAGCACAGCCTCCGGCACGACGGCCTCGAGGAACTTGGTGCCCTCGAGCCGCGGATGCCGTTCGACGAGGTGGGCGAGACACCGCAGCCGCGCCCCTCGGCTCGTCCTCGCGACGCTGGTCGCCGTGGAGACGAGGGTCCTTTGAATCTGCCGGCGGTGCTCGTGCAGGAACCGCTCGCAGACCTCCCTCTCGCTGCCGCAGACCTCCTCGAGGAAGCGATAAGCCTTCTTCTGCTCCTTCCACCTGCCGGTGTCGTCCTCGAGGGCCGGCACGCACGCGTCGTAGTGCTTGCTCAGCCTGTCGGCGTCCGCGTGGCCGAGCAGCGCTCGCAGCAGATCGTGGACGCTCTCTTTGAAAAACTCGTCCGCCTCGGGCTCGTCGAGCTTGCTCAGCGCCCGGTCGAACAGCTCGTTGGCCAAGTCGTTGCTCGCGATCGTCATGTAAGCCTTGATGGTGTCGAAGGCCGCGAGGCGCACCCCCTCCTCGTCCGTGCCGTCCGGTTTCGTCGTGTAGAGATTGAAGAGAATCGGCAGATAGTTTTTGGCGAAGCGCGCGAGCTCGGCGCGATCCGGCTCGGCCGACGCCCTGGCGGTGAGCCTCCTCAGTGCGGCCATCGCCGGCAGCCTCAAGTCCCTCCGCTCGCCGATAGCTACGCCGAGCAGCCTGGCGACGTGCTTAAACTCGCTGGCGACGTCGCTCGCGTCGTTGCAGAGGCTCGGCAAGACGGACCAGATTTGCGTGACCAAGCACTCGTACGCCTTCCCGTCCGCCGGCGACTCCTTCGCCCGTTGCTCGCATCGCAGGGCGAGCGGTAGCAGCGTGTCCTTGAAGAGGGCGATGCTGCCGCCGGTCACGCAATCCTTGAGCAGCGGGATCAGCCAGCTCCGTCCGAGATCGATCGAGGAGACGTGCCCGTCGTTGCCCGCGAGGGGCAGCAGGTCCAACACGGCACGAGGCCCCATCGCCCGGATCGCCGCTCCAACGGCGTACTCGACGTCCCGCGCGTAATCCTCGACGTCTCGCAAATCTCCGAGGGTCCTCACGACGTTGGCGAGCTGCTCGGCTGGCAGCTTGGAACCGGTCACTCGGAGCAGCACGGCCGTCAGGCGAAGAACGTGGCGCCAGGCGCCGAGATAGCGGTAGCTCAGCGTCTTGTGCACCGCCTCGACGACGTGCCTCAGGATCGCCCCGTACCTGCCGCGTCGCTCCTCGGTGTCGCAGAGAGGCGCCACGCACTCCTGCAGAATGGTCTCGACGGTGTGCGACGCGCCCGCGACGACCTCCGCCTTGCTGGACAGCAGCAGCTCGACGCACCTATCGAGCATCTCGGGTACAACGTGCTCGAGCGTAGTCGAGACGGGGACGGCGCCCGAGTGCGCCAGACGCGCCAGGTTACAGTGAGCCTCCCGCAAAACGGCCAGCCACGCCAAGGTCGGCTGCGTGTCGCTCGCCGACGGCTGATAATCGTACAGGGCTCTGACGATACTCGCGTTCTGCGGGAAAGGCAAGGACGCCTCGGACGGCCTCGCGGCAAACAGCCCGTGGAACGTCTGCAGGCAGCACGACGTCACGAGGACGTTGCTCAACGTCATGATGCTCAAGAGACGTTCGCAGATGGTCTTGACGTGCGACTTTGGTAGCTGCGCCACTACATTGGCGAGCAGCGTAAGGGTGTGCAGAATAGTGGTGGCTCCTAGCGACGAGCCCGGCTCGCAGGCGGCGTCGAGCTGCGCGACGCAGTGCGCCGCGACTCGGCCCGCGGCTGGATGATGTCTCGACGTCGCGATCCCCGCGTCCCCGAGGATGGTGCGTATCCCGTGCTGGGCGCACTTGCGCACCTTGGGCTTGGCGTGAGTGGTAAAGGACAATACAGCGTCGAGCACTCGCGCCGTCGAGGCATCCGCCCAGACGGCGGCCTCCTGCTCTCTCAACAGCACCGACAGGCAGCCCAGGCAGTGCCGCGGCACAAGATGGTTCTCCCCCGCGCTGGCGTAGCGCGACAGAATCTGCAGCAGGACCTGGCTCGTCGGGCCGAACTGCAAGTTGAGCACGCTCCTCGGCACCGTCCTCAGGCACATGCCCAGCAGCGACAGCACCGCCGCCACCGAGGTGTCCTCCTCCGTCGCCTCGAGAGTGCTCATCAACGCGGCAAAGTACTCGGTCGAGCTCTCCTTACCGCCGTTCTGCTTGATCACCTCCGTAACGGCTGCCAGCACCGCCAGCATCTCCTTGTGCACGATCGAGCTCGACTGAAAGCGAGCGAGGAACCTGCCGAAGGAGAGGTTCGAGCACGCGCTGTAATCGCTGGCGAACGTGTCGCGCGTGCTCGCTGTCCCGTCCACGGTGCTCTCCGTCTCCAGCTCGCGCTCATCCGTGCCCAGATCTATGTCGAGCTTGGCGAGACGCGACCCGACACCTTGGATAGCGTCGTGCTTCCGTACGTCCTCCCTCGTGATACCCGGCGTGCCGGCACTGCCAGCCTCCTTGAAAAACATACCGATCGCTTGCTCGCGGTACTTGGTCGTCTCCGGATTCGAGCTGGAACTCTGCCCTCTTGCCCATCGCTTCGCCTTCTTTCTACTTGACAAACGAGGCGCCAGCTTGCCCATCTTTCCCTCTCAGCTTGAAATCTTGTGAAATCTTGCAACACTCCCGAGAGAGAGAGCTATTTCGTGTCGCACGTGTTCCGAGTTCCAAGTCCAGCCATGATTAAACTAGATGCGCAGGTCGCCAGTGTCGCCAATCGACGTCCAGTGGCTCCGTGCACCGTCGACTCTCGGAACCACTCGGAACTCTCGCAAGTCTCCGATCGATATTGCAGAACATTGCAGAATATTGAAAATGGCCTCGGCCGTAATTCGACTGTTGCGTGGATCTTTGAGAAATATTCCATCTGTTGTCAGCAATGGTATGAAATATTATTTTGCCCGATCGACATTACATTTGTTTTACTAACGGGAAATTTCAACGCTTTTTCAGACGCACGTAATTTATCTACCGTTCATCACTTGCAACTGTTAAGGACGCGTGTCCCTTTGATACGCGACACAAGGAACTCGACATTTTTCGTCAGCAGTGAGTAATCTTCATCTGTACAAGTACAACTGGTATGTATAACGTTCCTCTTTCTCAGAATCTGCAGACGAATTGTGGAAAGGCGTGACAACCGTGAGTAATGCAGGCAGGAAAAGAGGCAGAGCGAAAGGCTTGGCGAAAAAGAGAGATTTAAACAAGGGCCAGATTATTGGTGTGGGAAAGATACCGATACAATTTCCTGGTCTCAACACACCGGTGTTCAGAGGAAGGGAACTGGTTCAACAGCAAAAGCTGCCTGTGGATCCTGAGAGGGAGGAAAAGCTGGTCAAGCTACGACAGAGTTATCAAACTGGGCGGAAGCGGATCAAGTCGTCACCACTAGAACGCGGTTGGACGAGCGCCCATTTGGGTGGTAAAAAGATTGGACCACCCGATCCTATCGGAGAAGGTTAGTTATTCGCTTCGATCCTAATTAAGAGATTGTGCAAATACACATGCTACTCGGCCTTTCAGATACCTTTGACGGCTTTGAAACCTGGGCACTGGAGAGCAAAGTGGTAAATTGTATGACCGGTAATTTAGGACGCAAGAGTACAATGAGCTTATTCGTCATAACGGGAAATGGAAATGGTCTGGCTGGATTTGGCCTAGGGAAAGCACCCACGCAGAAAGCAGCCATCAAGTCGGCTAAAAATAAGGCGGGTCAGAAATTAATGTATATCCCCAGATACAAGGAACATACTGGTAAAGGATTTTAGCGCCTCGTATATCCGCCGTATCTGTATCCATGTCGCTCCATATCGCCTTGTTTCAGTGCTACATGACTTTTTCGCACAGTTTGGTACTACCAAGTTGTTTGTCAAGAAGATGCACGAGGGATACGGGCTTGTCTGTCACCGTGCGATAAAAGCGTGTTGCCAAGCGATTGGCATCAAGGACATGCATGCCAAGGTGGAAGGTTCCACCAATTTGCAGCATATAATCAAGGCCTTCTTTATTGGTTTGTTGCAACAGGTATGCAATATCTTTAATCTTGGAGGATTGACTGGTATTTGATGGAATATCTTTGCAGAAATCCTATCAACAACTAGCGGACGAGAAACAACTGCACCTGGTTGAGTTTAGGTCGGAAAACGGAAATTATCCGAAAGTGATCGCTTCACCGTCGCAAGTGAGAACGTCGGACCAAGTATCGTCCCACGAGATCCTCGATTTTACTCAATACGTTTTGGGTGGCAAAGTAATATTGCAAAAAAAAAAGTATCCACCATTCTTTACTAGACTCCCACTTTGGAAGAGAAAGCTGTTGAAGCTGGAACGATTGAGGCACTATGACGAAACGAGGATCAAACTAATGGCAGAGTACGGAGCGTTGCATAGTTTTCTAACTGACAAGTATCCAGAGGCGAAGCTGCTTCCCAAGCCAAAGCGAAGCGAAAGCAATCAAGCGGAAGAATAGACGTACACAATATATGTAATGAATAGAGAGTTAATAAATTGCACTTGTCACGCGCGCTCCTAAATAACATGTCCGACTGAAACGGGTTCTTCCTATTGGATTAGCCGAATGCGTTCCGAAATTCATCGAGTTTCACATCTAGTGATACTCTATGATGATAATGGCTGGTAATGGCGCGCGTACCAATTTGTAAGTAACACACTGGTATTACGTGAGTGTGAAATGGATCTGGATACTGCTTACATCGGTAATTTATTCATTATCCAAGACGATTCTATACATGTGACGAAACTTGTCCATCCAAGAAGGCGCGATAGAGTAGCAAATGATTATTTTCATCAAGGTACAATTATCGAAATTGAATGAAATAAACTTGTTGCTAGAACCATTGATTGACGATTGGCTGGAACACGTTGTGCAACTGATGAAAGAACAAGAGCAGGAGCAGATTGGAAACGCGAGCGATTTTGCCATGCCATTTGTAGGTAGGCAACGTGATGGAGTTTGAACGACAATTGTTAAAAATTGTATTGTGTCGTCAGCGATTCCAGCGTCTACTGTGAAAACTGCCTTCAAGGTAGCAGAGTACTTTAAGCTAGAGCCAAACGTCAAGTATATGGCCATTCAACTGTACGAGAGATTCATGTGTAAGCACTTTTGGGAGATTTACAAGACTGAGATCGCAAACGATTTCTCCGAAGCGTCATGGCTCAAAGTCTGCGAGAGGAGCTCTAATGAAGCGAAATTAAATTTAATGTCGTGCTTTCAATTGGCCTGCAAAATGGACTCTCATTGCGGCGCCTTGGGAATATCGCAAGTACAATAATCTGCTTTATGAGCATTTCAACATTTGCCCTCCGAATAAATTTTCATTCTGCCGCTTCTCTTGCTAGATAATCAATTTTTTGCATCTGATTGACAAAGAGTCCGAATATACGCCGAGTATGATTTTCTCTTGGGAAATTAAAGTGTTCAAAACGGTAGGCTTTAAAATGCCCCTTTACACCCCGCTCAACTGCATCGAGATTCTTCTGGTGGCAACGGGTCTCGGAGAGACGCCAAATACAGCTGACGTCTCGATAGATTTGTTGGACTTGGCTTACCTAAAGGTTTGACACCTTTCTATCTAATCTCTTGACTCCGATGCAGCTTACGATATATATCGCTCTGATTTCTTCGCCGTACTCATTTCCAGCACGACATGTTGTACTCGCAATTTCATTTATATCAAGCGTACCAAGGTGTTGCCGCGGAACATGTAACCAGAAAGCTAATGTCGTTGAAATCAAATGTACTTTTCCTGAGCGCGGCAATAGTGTATTGCGCAACCTTCTTTTTGTGTCTGGATACAAATGTCTTGGAAGAGCAAGTTGTCGTGGCAAAATTGGCTCAATTGTCAAATACAACAGACACCGATATCTTTCGTATGGCCGACGTGTTGCTCTCGATAGCGACGCAAGAGTGACGCTTCTCTTCTCTTTTCCCCCTGCAGAGAGAGCTCGTTGAGGAGGGATTGTACCACGCTCTAATATCTTATTCTATTGTACAGAGATAATTAAATACCTTGTGTAATATGTCACACGCATATTTCAATATACAAGTGCAATGAAATTCAAGACTGCTTATTCCATTCGAATTGGAGCTCGGTTTGACCTATGATTGGGGTTAGGTTAGGTTAGGTCAGGTTAGTTTGGGCTGGACTACGCGAAAGACTCCTTTCTCCTCTTTGCAGTGCACTCGTTTTTTTAGCCCCTTTCACCGTGCTGCGCGCCTGCTCGACATCCGTCCGTTCACTGCTGCTTTTTCCGCGAGAAAAAGTTATTTGCCATTTTCTCAAGACGATAGCGTTATAGTGAATGTAAATATCGTAATCGAGCGTGGGCTGTGGGCATAATAACGTCCATGTACGTGCATGTGTGACTGTGTGCAGCCACGCGACCACAGCACAACAGTACAACCATATCACCCATATCACCCATATCCCAGTATTCCAAGTACGAGTACGACGACATCGAGTAACGAGTTCCGATCGTTTCAAGATGGTGAAGAAACAACCTAGCGGCTGTTCTCGCGCAAAGTGATTGCAAACACACACAGAGCTCGAGTTCCGCCACACGAGGACCACGAGGACCAGAGAGAACGTGCAATGGCGAAATCCGTGCTAAGTTCCGACACGCTGCCAAAGGCAGGTCGCGTAAACGAAGGTGAGATTCTTTTCACTCCCTACTCTCGGATACTCGTAACCGATTGCCATTCGTAATTGCAGTGTGCCGCGAGTGGCTGGTACACGAGGATGGGGCATTGGCTTATCGGCTTCAGGATGAAGAAAGTACGTAAAACTTTTACCTGCCTTGTAGGTACAATTTATCGAGCTTGCTTGTAGGTGGCAACGATGACATTTCAACAATTATGTTTTGTATTCACAAGATTCTAACTCTCCATTGTGATTCCTAGTCAAGGAACATTATACTGGCAACAAAACGCGAAACGCACAGGTGAGAGAAGATTTGCCGCGAGCCAAAGTCGAGCAGGAATTGGAAGCACTGAGATATCAAAGTTACATTCAACAACAGTTAGTACAACTTGAGATAGAGATTTTTTTTTCATAGGAGGAGGTTCCATTTTCTTTTCTTTTTTTTCCAAAGGGAAGAGAGAGATGCGCTTGTCGCGAGGCAGATTGCGCTTTCTCTTGAGCGAGAGGAGAGGCAGAGGGAGCGCGAATTGCAAGAAATGATGAGATTACAACTGAGATTGGGAGATGAAGCTGCGCAGCGAGAGTTTGAAAGACGTATGCAAGAAGGAAAGGACGAGGTAACCACGATTCTCTTGACGGTTGACGAAACCCTCGAAAACAATCTCTCTTTTGAGAAGGGAAAGACGATTGTTCGCCAGCGTGCAAAATTATTTAAAGTGTCATTTCTTGCGACAGGAACTGGCGAAGAAGCTGCAACAAGAAGAGAACAATCCAGACGGTCCAGAGGACGAGCGTTTAATGTTGGATCAAAAATTGGCGATGGAGGCGCAAGATGCTGAACTGGCGCGAATGCTTCAGGACAAGGAGCGTGCAAAGGCTCGTAAAGCGCGAGAGAGGGCGAGGCAGAAGAAACTAGAGCGGGAGCGTCTACAGCAACAGGCGGATCAACAGAATCTCGCGGAACGACCTCAAAGACCAGATAGGCTGGACTTGAAGGCTCTGTCGATCAAGAATCGAGGCCGTTATTCTGCCAATTATTCTCAATATTCGGATCCCGAGGAAATCCAGACGCTAGACGATCCTGTTGATAATATGACCAATGTCGCGACCATTATCGACCCTACTTACAATATGCACCGTGGTACCTCGAGTAGTTCAAGCAGCACGATAAGCCCCACTTACGTTTTGCCGACACCACCGCAAGAACTAATGACTGACGATGTACCGTGTTACATGCCGATTCAAGGCCAGCGACGAAATCAGACTCAATCGCCGTCTAACGCGCACGAGGAAAAGCACAAACGGCGAGTAAAAGACGGATGTAAGCATCAGTAAAGGAGACATTTCTCTTTTTCTCTTATTACCATCAAACGAAATATTTATTTTTTAACTCTATAAAGAGATGCAATTTTCTCATGTATCGAGCAATATTGACGTGTATTTATTTCATATATTTGCATTTACTTTCGCAAAACGAGTGTATGACTTTCTGAATTTCACTATTATTTCTCCATATTAATAGGACATATTGCCATATACCTTACATGATGGTGTAAATCAATCTACTGCCATACATTGTGCAACGTGCCTCTTAAAGGGCATTTGAAGGAATTTAAGAGCCTTAACTTGAAAAATTTACTAATTACTCTGAAATATATATCAAAGATTGCTAATATCCGAATGGATAGATTGTACCGTCCTCCATTTTCTTTTTACATTTCTTCGCAGCCGACACTCTTGTATATTCTCCACATGGAGCACATAAGAGTGTCGGCTACCACGTGTGTGTATGTGTATGTATGTATGTATGTATCAAGTATATAAAGACATTAGTATAAATATTAATTTTTAACATTAACACGCTTCTCACAGTGTTGAAATTTTTCACATTTTTAGAATAGAGTAAAACAAAAATCTTAGACAATCAAAGAACAATTTATAACAGATATATTTTTCAACTTGATGCATTTATATGTGACGAACAGTGTACAAATATTGATCCACTGCAAGAGTTTATCATAGAATCTCATAATTCACCCATAGATGGGTCACAGATGGTACAAAGTGTAATTGGTCAACGCATAAAAAGATTGAGAAACTGTAGAAACCGTTTTCCAAATCAATTCATTATTTAAGTAATTACATTTTTTTTTATGTAATCTTTTGCGTTTCTAATACGTTCAAACTTGCTCTTACAAGATAACACAAAAACTTGTTACATTTCGTCTATAGCATGCTTAATTTGATAATATAATAAGTCGCGCCTAACAAAATCCTTTTGTAATTATTATTAAGGTAGAAAGTAAAGAATGACAACACTGCCAAAGATAACACTTTAATGCTGGCCTTTAGAAAAAAGAAAAAGTATTGTGGTAAAGAAAATGCAAACATACGTAATTATATGTAAAGCTCTAGAGGTCGAACGGATCTCACGTACTACATTGTTTTTTAAACTTTGAGAAATATACGATATGAATAAGCTTTCAAAACGTTTAGGTATATTGTCAGCTGTAATATATCGAAGGAAAGTGTTGGAATGCGAAATTGTTACATTTCCCTTTCAGAAAGGAAGAAAGAAATATCGTAATTTTATATTCTTTATATTCGCGCGTTATATAAAAGATGTGCATGGCAATCGTGTGCCCTGCTCTAGTGAGCCGAAAATCCGAGTTCAAAATCAATCAAAAAAATCATGTTTTTCGGTCGTCACTTCTCGAAAGGCAAAAACCACCGATAGTATAAAAACTCTTCTGTAAAAACCGGAATCGGCGTTAGATTGTAAGCGCCACAGATATATGCACAGATGATGCTAAGGATTGAGAGAGAAATATATATATATATGAACTTATTTACTAACTTGTATAAGGACTGTGTTCAGAAGAATCTCTATTGGTAGTTAATTTTTCGAGCGTTACTCCATTAGGATATATAAACTCTTTTTATTACGATTATGTCATTTGTGGTGAATGGAGTCTTCTCTCTAGAGTTTGATACCATCATATATTATCTTTTAAGTTTATTGTATCGATACAGCTTTACATGAGTATGTTAATAAATTATTTACAAAGATATGATACATTGCCTTCTTGCCGAAAATCCTGTAGAGGGACGTACTATATTATGTGCAAGGAATCTTGTGCTACAGAATAAGTCCAAAAATAACAAAAAAGAAACTAAGTGAGGGTAAATACCTTTAAGAGAAATGTAGAATGAAACGGAATCAATGCTATTAAAATGGTCAGTGTGCGCGCGCACGCATACATATTTTTGACGCGATGTATTTATGCCAAACATTTCATCGTACTTTTTTCTTACATGATATTTATTGTAGTCATATCTCTGTATACTTGGCAACTTGTGTATCGATGTAGAAATAACGCGATACAAATACATTTGGAATTTGATGGAACATAAACTTTCTTATGCAATGACGTAACATAACTTGAGTCAATCATGGAGGTTTACAAATCTTTAGAGAAAAACGACCTTTTGGAACTCTACTCGAGAAGATTACTCAAGAGAAACTCCGCGTGTTGTTGAAATAAGGAAAAAAGGAAAGAAAAGTATGTTTCTCAACATTATATCAACTTGTATTTTAAATGTCAGAATAGTCGATTATCTTCCACCATAACTCAAAATAAATACCTGATCAGAGAAAGAAAAGAAAACAACTACTTAATCGTCATTCTATCGAAACAAATGTAGTTGCTTGCAAAGAAAAAGAAAGCAAGAGTAAGTGTCCATATTGTTTCCCTCTCTGCAAACAATAAAACTTGTTCGTCCGACAGAAGAGTACATACATACGTCAATATTATAAGCAAAAGATTTTTCATTTTCTAACTAGGATACACTTTAATCTTTCAAGTTTAATCTCTTTGTTTGTCAACATTCATAGTTGTTTATCATACCAGAGAAATACTTTGTACTAGATTTTTGCTTGTAATAGCTGAAACTGGTCAATAATTTTACGTATGTGATATTTCACGCTTGTATGTAAGTGGTAAAAGTGAATACTTTGCAACGAATGATCGTTGCCGTATCGGTTTAATTGACAGAAGGACGCGTATAGAAAAATAGAGCGGAAAAAATATAAATGTAAAAAATGAATTTACAGGCGTAAATTAAAAGATTTACAAACTGAAAATGTACGAGCGACAGATTCGCCAGAATTCCTGACAAGTTGCCAGTTTTAATCTGTCGTGCTTTTAGATCTTTTAGATATAATGAATCTCGTTCGAAATCGTGATACGTAGTTCGTTTTAGCTAAAGGAACATAACTGCTGGATTTGACGATGCCACGAGGAGGTTTCTGGGTAGTAGGCTGTTGTTCTCCTTCCTCATAACAACTCGGTATGAACGATCTTACTTTTCTGTGGAAAAGAAAAAGGGATAGTGTATATCTGCCTTTCTCCTTCTCTGGTAGAAGAGAGCACGAGTAAAGGTTAAACGAGTTTGATTGAGGCTTAAAACAAGTGAGATACTGCGTGTGTATACTACGTAGCAATGAGTAATTGTGTCAAATTAATTAATGAATAACAACCTACGATGTTGGCTCGGAGAAATATTTTCAGATCTGCTTTGGGGCGGTGAGAACACATAATTCGGCACTTCCCCAATGTCTGCAAATTGAAAATTGCTCTACTACCATCTCATCAAACTATAACTATACTTGAATACTTGCTATTCGACAAGCGAATGGAGTCTTACGTTTCTAGCAGTTTTTATTATGCATATACAATAGTGTAAAACGTTGATAACAATAGAAATCTATTGGAGAAGGAGAGACAATTCAATGTAATATCCGAAAGCAATCTTGAAGCAACAAGAGATTCGATGCCGATTTTGATGGAAATTTTGATAAAAATTTGCTACAGTATTTGTATCCCTACAGCATAAAGCCGTAATCATCCTAAGGAGGCATCGGTCGACTCCAACTGCTACAATTAGGATCGATCGAGTTAGGAGTGTGATTACGGCTCGAGACCATTCACTTGACGAGCGATCCGCTTGCTCAAGTTACCTTCCTCACCCAATGGCACGTTGTCCGTCTTCTCCGGCAACGAGAAGGAAAACAGATGACTGGACTCTAGGCTCACGCTGGTCTCGCGCCTTGACCTGCCTCGTCTCGACTTTACCGTTCCTTCCTTCTTCGTCTCCTTGATCGTCCTTCTCTTTAGCGTCGGCGCACTCTGCACGGCCTCACCGTCCGTCTTCTCGTCTCCATCGAATCGTACTCTATCCTCACTTTCCGCAAGCTCTTCTGCTATTGGCGATACCGCCGCGATACCACTTGTCGGACAGATACCACATCGCACATTTCTAATACTCCTCCTCATCTCCGTGTGTGTCACATCGGCACTAGCCGCTCTTCTCTCCCTAACGTTACTCTGCGTAGCCTTCCTTTCGCTGGACCTCGTCTCTCTCAATGGCGGACTCAGAATCTCCTCCAATTCCTCCGGCACGGACAGTAACGATGCGCTTCGAGCGCGCGCCTTTCTCGTTAGTCTACCAACAATCTCGTCCCTATTTCTCGCGGTGAAGCCCGTCTTCGACTTGGACTTGGACTTGGACCCCGACTCCGACTCCGACTCCGACTCCGACTCCGACTCCGACTCCTCCACCTTTATCTCCTCCTCCGGAGGCTCGGCAACCTCCAGGATGACTTCTTTGACGACACTGCCAGACCTACGTCGCCACGAACCAACCGGTTGCGTTCGTATCATCTCCTTAGGTAGCGAACTACCGCGTTTACGGATCGTTTTAACATCCGGCTTCTTCGAACGCTCCTTGTCCAAATCCCTTGTGGACGATCTCAATAATCTGCTCGTCGTTGCGCTATCGGACGAAGGCTTGCTCGCGCCCCGTAAAGGCCTCTTGTTCGCGTTCTCGCATTCCTCGTCGTCGTCGCTCGTTAGTTTCGTGAGCGATGTCGCGCTTCCTGACCTCGCGAGACTCCCCTCAGCCACCTCTGTAGGAGCATCCACCTGCAATTCTTTTTTCGCGGAAGAAGCGAGTCTCGTGCTTCTCCTCACAGGCAATTCTGCCCTCGCGGAAGAAGCTCTCGTGCTTCTCCTCACGGACAATTCTTTCCTCGCGAAAGAAGCGAGTCCCGTGCTCCTCCCCGCGTCCTCCTTGACGCTTTCCGAGTCGCTATCCGTCATCTCGGCCCGCGACATCTCCTTTGGCACAGACATACATCTGCGGCCTCTTCTCGCTGACGCTGACGCCGACACTGACGGTTGCGCGCCGGAGTTTGCTGATTGCGGCTCAAGATCCGTCATCGCCGAGCTCATTAGCACGTCCTTCGCAAGAGAACTCGCTCGCCTCGAACGCAAAGACGAACGACCCGTTGGTGAATTCAGAGCCACCCCTCGCGATGGAGAATCCTTGGCGATTGAGCTCGCCCTTCGTGGACGGGTGGATCTCTCCAATTCTACTTGCCCCACCGATGTATCCTTTGCTGCCGAATCTGCTCCACGTGATCTAGTCATACGTACGGCTCCGCAAGTATCCGCCTCATTTCTCTCACTTTTCTCGGAGAAACTCTGACAGGCCTCTCCCCGGCCCGTCTCCTCGGATAGCTCGATGCTACTATCATCTACTTTATGTAGCCTTACATAGCTCGAAAAAGTTTTGTCATCAAGCTGCGACGGTAGAGTTCTCTTCCGGTTCTTCTCATCGGATCCATCATTTCTCTCCATTTGGATATTCCGCGTGGCGTAGGGCCTTTGTAAATCGGAATATCTACCGTTTCTCGCTTTTGGCTCCTCGGTTTCTCCAGTACCGGAATCGGACTCGTCGTCCGTAATATTCGACATGTCGTACAACACACGCTCTAAATACACCATCGGCGTCAAATGCGTCTCCCCTTTGTTATTGTCCGCCTCATCACCAAGTTCTGCCGCCGGTGTCATTGCTCTGCTATTCGCAGATTCGTCGTCGGTCAAATCAACGTCACCCATCATCCGCACCGAATCTTGCAGGCCGTTAGGTTTCGTTGTGCCGCATGCCGCCGTCTCGCCTTCTCGCAGATCCCAAGTCTCGCGGAACGAGCGAGAAGCTTGGACTGGACTGTCCAAAGGCGTGCTTTCCGGAATCGTTGACAGCCGCTCAAATGCCTCCTCGTGCTCGCCAGTGGCCACGATATCTTGCAATCCGAGCAGCTCCTCGTCGGACTCACCCGGAACCTTCGATTCCGCGACCTTTTCCAATTCGGAGAGTGCGGGCATCTCGTAATCTCGTAAACTCGGATCATCTTCCCTCGCGATTCCTCCGTTATTGTACCTGTTTTGTCGACTCTTGCTCTCTACGACCTTCTCCAAACTATCACCTTGTTCCGCGGGATCGCTTCCACCACAACCGGATCGCTCAATGTGCTCGGATCTCTTGGAGCCGCCTAGCGCGTCAACATCTTCCTCAATTTCGTACGCGTTATTCACGTCGTCTACTTCCGTCGCTCGCTTGTCGTTAACCGACGTTTTACAAGTTATAATCTTCGTTATCGGGGTAGACGAAATGATAAATTTATCGTTGCCCTTTCTTTCCGCGGACAAGTTCTCTCTCCGTTGCAACGGACTGGCGCGTCCCGATCTCCTCGGATAGCTAATGTCGACGCTGGTCCCGGGGGACAGTACAGTGGTCGAGTAGACGGAGGCTGACAGCAACGAACTGTGTCTGCTCGGTGTATCTGGAATTAACGGTTGTTTATTCGTCTCTTCGGACGAGCTACTCGCTCTCTCGGGACAAAATACTTGCTGCGACACTTGTACGGACGATTGTAAGGCACTTCTTCTGAGACTAGGTCGCGGACGGGCATAGCACGAAATCTTACCAGAGATACTACTGTCATTCAAAACCGCACTTTCGTAATACGCTGATTTGTTATCCGCGGCTGGGTTGAAGAACGCATGCTCGCTACTCGCTTCGTTCGAATTTGGTTCGAGGGAAACACTAGTCTCGTTTCCTTTTTCCTTCTCCACTTGCTCGTCCTCGTCCTCGTCCTCATCGTAGTCGTTCTCGTACACCAGAGCTTTCTTCGATTGATTGATGTTGAATCGTATCTGTCTACTGACTTTTCTCTCCCTTTCGGCCAATCTATCGGTTGCCTCCTTTATTTCGGGCGTCGCGGTAGAAGATGTCGAGCTTCTCACGAGTTGTCTAATCTTCAAAATCGACTGCGGCGTCTCTAAAACGCAATCTTTGCTCGTGTAGACATTAGATTTGCGCTTTACCAGAGGTGTCTCGAAAGTATCCCGAAATTCTGCAACTCCCGATTCTTGTCTACACGGTGAGACGTTCCCTTCCGATAGTTTCCGACGTTTTATATTTCCCGGCGTGTCGTCCTCCTCGTAAATCTGATCGACCGTGCGTTTGCCGCGACTCTGGCGTACCAGCGCCGGAAACAAGACGCAATTCATGTTTGCGCCGTAACTGTTGATCCTCAACGACGTGCAGGGCGCACTGACAAACGGGATCTGACTCTTCTCCCCTCTTAGATAGGTTTCTCTGGCCTTGGCGATCACCGTTTCGTGTATACTCCGCAGCCTGTCGTGACTCTTGCGATGCGACATCGGCCTAGGATAGCGCGCCTTCTGATCTGCGTCCGAATTTGTCGCGGCCGCACTCGTGGAGAATCGTTTCGTAACATCGGGCAAGGTCATGTCGTACGCGCCGAGCATACTGATCGACACAGACTGCACATCTCTGGCCAAGTTGGACTGGTGCTGCCGGATCGGATAGCCACCAATTACTTCCGTGTAACGACATCGTTGTAGATAGTACAACACCCGCAAATCGTCCATCTTGTTCTCTTCGAGAAACTTGACAAACACCTCCTCCTCCTCGGAGTCTAGCACTAGATGCAAAATCTCATCGAGCTTTTTGTATTTCTTGCACGCTCGGAAGAAGCTGGTCAGCAGTTGTTCATAGTGGCAGGGTGGCCGATGATGGAAAGCGGACTGCACCAGACCGTGCTCCACCGAGAGACTCATGGCCACACATTGCTCCTCTATAGAGGACAGGGGAGGCTTCCTCAAGCGAAGATATACGAGCGCTAATTTGTGCTGATTGTTACGCACCAAAGTGCGCAATACGAGTCGATGGTGCCAATCCTTAATATCGGAGTCGCAGACTAACTGGCCGGTAATAGTGTCGAGAAATTCCTGGTAATTTTCGTGATCGAGCAGCCAGAACGCCTGAGTGAGCTTGATGAGGCTGGGGCTCATCATGAACGCGGACGGATATTTGATCAGCTGTTTCACAGCGGGATACAGCCGCTGCAGCAGCATAACCAGGTCCATCAAAAGATAAGTTGTGATCTGATGCCTGCAACTGATCTCGTTTGCTTCCGTCTGATGACAATTGGTTAAGTAAGATCGCAGTAGAGATTGCAACGATGGTGGTGGATAGCAGCCATGCGTGGCGATGCCACCCTCTCTTTCCCATTGTGCTTTTAAAATGGAGCACTCGCGCGTTATCAGCTCGTCAATAAACAAGTCTTCTTCATTTTCGCCATTTCTTCTATTGCTTCTTAAAAACTGTACTCGTTTCTCTTTATAAAGTACCGAGAGCTTCTCGTAGGGATAAGGCACTCTTAACGCTAGGGAGATGGGCAACGTGACATTCTCCTCTTCCTTTTCTTCTTCTTCCTCTTCTTCCTCTTCTTCCTCTTCCTCCTCCTCCTCCGCCTCCTCTATCTCCGCCGCCGCCACTGCTTTCTTCTTCTTCTTCTTCCTCCCCCCTCTCTCCTCCTCCTCTTCCAAATCTTGCGTTTCAGGCAACAGTCCCACATCGTAGAACCAAAGGAGTACTTGGAAATACGTGGACACACGTCTCAACATCCTTCGTTGCTTCGTTAAATCCACCGTAGCGGACGGTAACTTGGCCATTACATTGGACAAACATTCCAATTGCTGTGAGTAAAACCGTAAAGCTTTCACGTCGGCTTCGCCGATGCTACAGCCTGACTGATCGAATAGAGGAACGCAGAGACGATCCGCGGTCATTTTTAACGTAGAAGCTCTGTAAACACCCCACTTGAGAAAAGTGGGGTACAAGTAAGAAGCGCTACCATCCGACCACTCCATGGCGCATTTGATGAGAAAAGAGGACCACCGCTGTTCCAAGCAGAGCGACAGCAACATCTCTCGTTGCGCATTCTGATCGCTAGCGAACGAGAATTCCGAATTGTACGGCACCAGTCCGACAGAGAGACATCGGTGAAACGTTTCAAACGGTTGTATCAATACGACTGGACCCGTCGTAGCAATCTCACGCAACAAGTCGGTCTGAATGCCGCGTGTCATCCAGAACGTTAGTTTCGTGGAGCTCAACTCCACCCACTCGAGCGACAAGGAGTTGGGGTAGAAGAGTTCCTCGGGCGAACTTGGGCCGTTACTGGAGTACTCTCGTAAACTCTGCGGGATATAGGCGAAACTTACGACCCGACTGTCTCCCTCCTCGTTTTGCCCATCCGATCGCGTACGGTACGTCGCCAACATGCTGTTTGGATTCTGACACTCGCCGATGGTGCGCGGCATTTGCTCCTTGTACCACTGATTCAGATCGAACAGAAACACTCTGTCGTTGGTGGTGATAAGCAGTAGATTATCCTCGCCTCTTCTAGCGGCCGACTCACTCTGCTCTGGATTGGACTCTCTCTCAACGGTGTACAAACCGACGACCCTGTCACCTTCGTTCAGCTCCGATTCAAACTTCAAACTGGGATCATCTTCCAGGTTGAAGTACAAGTTTATCTCTCTGTCGCAGTATTTCCTTTCAAATAGCATAGCGTACATTCGCAATATCGGCGGCGCCGTTGACAATTCGTCCTGAAACACTACCCACAAGTAATAAAAAGGTCTAGGATCGTCCGTGGGCTCCAACAAGGCCAAATGCGTGACCGCCATGTTCTCGTCGATGGGCGTACTGATCCAGCCTATGGAACCATCGCTCTGCCAAATTATCACTCTGCCCAAACAGCCGGAGATTAAACAGCCAATCTTTGTGGAACTAATAATCGCGGTGGTCAAACTCTCACCGAGCAAAGACGACTCGAAATCTACTCTGTTGAAGCCAAGGTGCCTTTCTATACCTGCCAATGAGATACATTGAATGTTCGAGTAATATCAACTGAAACTAAAGCCTTTAGAGGGAAAGATTTGTGCATCGCGCACATACTTGGAGGCAAATGATGTATTTGGATAATTATTTACTTGTACTTACGGTCGTTGAGCAAATTGTAAGCTGCGTGCTTATCTCGAACGGATCTACCGATAATATGCTTCGCCGACGGAAAGTCTATCTCCGCTGGTGACGTTTCGTCCATAATGACAGACAAATCATGCGCGTCCCATACAGTTCTCCGGAGATCAATCATAATATGGTAAAGATTACGTAGAGCTACACAGGCCATCCCATCCATTTCACTGAATACATTGTCGGGTCTTTTATCATTGAATTCCTCCCACTCTGCGCCACCAGTCACTACGCACACCTGTTCTATCCCACACGGCATCTAGCACATAATGCAATGGCTTGATAATAATAGGCTCTTGAGACGTGCGTGCTCGCTGAAATAACAGGTAGAGAGGGCACTGTGATAATTATAATAATACTTACGCGGATAGCCCTCAAGACACGGGACGTAGTACAGTCGAATATACAAAGTAAACCGGAGGAATCTTTCAGTTTGCTGGCACAATTATCTATTCCAACCAACAGCAATGGGAATTCTCCAGATTGCGTGGGAAATTGGGAGACGGACGTTACGACGCCACGAAATGTCCAACTGCTAATGCACTCTCCCACTTTTGCATTGAAGACTGTCAAGTGGCAGCCGCAACTTAGCCAGGCGTACGTTGCATTCTGCAGAAATCCTCCACGGCAATCGCCGATGCTGTCGTGCTCTTGGAGATTTGCCGGCTGACCGTACTCGCGATTGCTCAACCAGCTTGACGCAGGAAAGCGAAGATTCACGATTCTGCGAATCTGCACGCGGGAACAAATAAAATTTCCGTTCGTCCAAGTAGAAAAAACGTCGAGATCAATCTTAATCGAGTATATAAATCGGTTATTTCGAGTGTCGGAACAACGTATTTAACGTAGCGCCTTACCTCGCAGTTGGTTTCCTCTAGCTCCTTCATTTTCGCGAAAATCGGAAGAGCTACCGAGATATCATCGGTGAAAGTTGCATTTAAAAACCGTTGTTGCGGCTCGCAGCTCGAGGTTAGGTTGGCGCCAAACCTCACGTACGTTCTCGCGACCGCCCTAGAGACACGCGCGCATATAAGATGAGATTGCACGTGCAATGGAAAGTGACTCGTCGGAAGAAGACAATGACGGCGTAATTTGGAATCGTATTACGAAATACGTACGAAATTGATACTATCAACCCCTCGTTTGCCACTCTCCCTCTCCCTCTCCCGCTCTCACTCACTCTCTCTCTCTCTCTCTCTCTCTCCCTCGTGCACAAGCGTGTTTGAAAACCGCAAACTACTACTACCAATGCTACCAACCGCTACGACCGGCTACAACAGTAGAGTCCCTGTAGTAAAGCGCGGAGCACACACAAAATTGCGTAGCATATGCATCGCACCAAACCGTCTAGACCAATCTTAAGCCCGCTGCA